AGAGGGAGGAACAGTGGATCTGGCCTAGGTGAACAACAAGAGCAAGGGCATGGCAGTGGTCACCAGGTCACCAGTTACACGCTTGCATATGAGTATGTGAATGGAGGAGGGAAAATGACAGGAAGTCTGGTCTGACTAGAGATGACAGTTTATAGGAGGGAAGAAGAGAAATTGGTCCTGAAAAGGTTGGGTGGGGCAACTTTTCAGAAAGCCTTGAAAACTAGGTACAGGACAATAAACAACATCCTCTTCTATGAAACCACAGGGTTGGACTAGAGATAACTGGTCTTTTGCAGCTCCAAAATTATGAGTATCTCTATAACACAGAGATCCTAAAGAGCAAGGAACAACATAATGAAAACGGCAGGAAGTCAATGAACCTAGAAAGTAGACTGAAGAACAGACACTGGAAGCCTGACATGGAAAGGGAAACCTGACAAGGCTTGCTATGGGTTGGATAGGGAAGTCAAAAAGCATGGGAAATCACAGTAGTGCCACTGAAAGGCAGAGAAGGCGAGCTGGTTTGGAAAGAGGAGAACATCAGCACACATTATTTTAAATTTATGTTGGACATAAATTATGTTTGTGATGACAATTCAAAATTCCAAGCAGGGCTGGGGAGTGGCTCAAGTGGTAGCACTTGCCTAGCAAGCGCAAGGCCCTGACTTTAAACCTCAGTACCACTGATAAATAAAAATAAAATTTCAAGCTGAAATGTCCAGCAAATCACTTGGGAAAAAACTGGACTGTATTTATAGCCTTAATAATGGAATAGACGAGAGAAAAAAAGCTAGGAACCTTAAGCTTAGAGACAACAGAAGCCAAAGGGCAAGTGAGCTGAAGGAGTGACTATCTGGATAAAATAAATAAGAAAACACTAGGTGCTTCAAATGCCACCCTGACACTGGTTAAAACAGAAAAGATCTACAAGAACATAATCTGCAATCTACTGATGCTAATTATCCTGACTAGTATAGAATTCAGCTGAGGTGTCAATATGACTTATCAACTACTCTATTTCATATCTTCATCTCTAATACCCACCATACTGTCATCATTCCAGACGTCAGACTGGGCCATTTGTCCTTGGAATGAATCACTCTGTTGTTCATCTGGAATGCTGGCCTGACTGGAGCTGGCAGCCAAAGAGGGTTGGTCATTATTCTGGAGTGAGGAATGCTCTGAATCTGTGGATGAAGGTAAGTTAGGTGCTGGCATGGAATCTTCAAGAATCAAACATATCAAGTCCCCAGAAACAATCCCATACGAAGCCAAGGTCTCTTCATCTCCAGTGAGGGCATCCTTGTTGTTCAATGTAATTGCAAATCGGGTATCAGAACTGCCAAGAAAGATGGATAAGGATAGTAAGAGCTACCTGTTACCACTACCCTAAGTAATACATTTGGAACATATATAAGGTACATGGTATAACCTTACAAGAAGTAATTTAAAAAAAAAAAAAA